GCCTCAGAGTGATAGCATGCTGGGTCTCTGTGCCTCAGAGTGATAGCAGGCTGGGTCTCAGTGTTTCACAGTGATAGCAGGCTGGGTCTCTGTGCCTCAGAGTGATAGCAGGCTGGGTCTCTGTGCCTCAGAGTGATAGCAGGCTGGGTCTCAGTGTTTCACAGTGATAGCAGGCTGGGTCTCTGTACCTCAGAGTGATAGCAGGCTGGGTCTCTGTACCTCAGAGTGATAGCAGGCTGGGTCTCAGTGTTTCACAGTGATAGCAGGCTGGGTCTCTGTGCCTTGGAGTGATAGCAGGCTGGGTCTCTGTGCCTCAGAGTGATAGCAGGCTGGGTCTCAGTGTTTCACAGTGATAGCAGGCTGGGTCTCTGTGCCTTGGAGTGATAGCAGTGTGCCAGTGCCATGTGCTTGCCAGCTGTCCGGCTTTCTCACTAGTACCTTTGGGCCTGCCGTCCTGTACCTGCCGTGCATCCCATCCAGCTAGAGCTCCCCTGTGACGCATCTCTTTCCAAAAGCAGAGCTTCAGGTAGAAGGCCAGAGCTCAGGCTTTGCTGCTGCTTTCTGCTCCCCTGTTTCCAGTAAGGGACTTCAGCAGCTCCACGCATAATTGTGGCTGCTTAATCAAGGCATCTCAAGTCGGTTTCCGAAGCCTATTTTCCCAAAGTGCCTGAACCTAATAAGGGAAATGCTAATGAAGTTAGCCAGTCAGTGTGCACTTTCGGCAGAGCCCGTGATAAGCAGGTCATGCATGGAGTGCCGGGTGCCCACGCAAGCTCGCAGCACCCGCATCCTCATTAAAGGGCCCCGGCCGGCCCTCTGCTGGGCCCCGGGGGGGAGGGGCCGTCCTCCACGTCTGGCGGCGCTTAGCGATAGAGTGGCCTGGGGGTGGGGAGACTAGGGGCAGCTGGACCTGGGCAGGTTCTCAGATGTCGGGCAAGACATGGAAACATACCTTGTGCTCACGTGAAAGTCTAATCCTGTCACTAAGATCAGAAGGTGGCGCCGCCCTCTGTGCAGAGGGAGGGGGGGCAGGCCCTGGCCCTGCCTGAGCCACACTGCCATCTCCACGCCGTCTGAAGCCCAGCCTCCAGAGATCAGCTTCCATGCTCCCTGTTAGAATTAAGGGCAATTTCACAAAAAAAAAATCATATATATGTGAAGAATAGTGTGAAATGTCAGAATCAGTTTAAATCTGCAAGTTTTAAACAGAATTAGTTTACTGTCTTTTGAGAGGTGGTAAGAATCCCTGCAGCCCGTTGTCACGGATGCAGACTCTTTCCTCGTAAAACGCTTCTCGTAACGTTATCTGCTGGGATTCACACTTCCAAAGCTGCTTGATGCTCTGCATCCTCCGGGGCTTGTTGTGGGGCTTTTCAGAGAAGAGGAGGGCTCTTGGCTAATGGCATCATTGCCCTTATGGTAGGAAACATTAGCATTAGCCGCACATGGGGGCCGATGTAACACAAATCCCGTGTGTGTATTAAACAGGCTGGTCCCCAGAGCGTGAAGGGATGGAGTCTGTGAAGTTGTGCTCCTGAGTTTCAAAGGCGCCTCTACAGACACCAGCATTGAATTAAAGGCGCACCGAGATGGATATTGCACCTGTACAGCACAACTGGCACAAGTTATTTTGTTGGCTTCCAGTTTAACCATTGCTAAACACTAGACCTTCTTACCCTTCATGTCCTCTAGGTGAAAAACACCAGTTTCACCTCCTGGGGGATCAAATTGGGGAAATGGTTACACGAGGCCTTTCTACAGCTAGCAGAAGAACTCTGTGTTTTTGTGAAATGAACTAAACACTTTGGTAATAATCCCAAATAAACATCATTCGCACCTCATGCCGCATGGACCTGCTTTTACGGGTGATGCCACCCTGTGGTTAGACCAGCAGAAGCGACCCGCCCCTTGGACCATCCTGAAGTGAGCATTGTCTGTGATGTCCTACGCCGGGATCATTCGATGACACAGATTGGTCTGATTGCAAGGAGAGGCTGTCACATGCGAAGGAGTCCTCTAATAATCTCCTCTGCTTCCATGGGCTTTGCTCTTTGACTCAATTTCAACGCAACCAATTTGCTGTTTATTGCCATTTTTTTTTTTTAATCAATGAAAGAATTAATGACCATAGCCACAGCACCCGGGGGTGTAGCAACAACGTGGCGTGATTCATCGCTTCCATGAGAGGGAAGCTGAAAGGCGGATGTGGGGGGAGGGGGGGGGTGCGGCGGACTCGTGCCCTGGGAGTGTGAATGTGGGACAGCCCTGCGGATTGACCAGGACAGCTGGCTCCCCACGGGAGGCTGGTGGCGGGGAATCCCCCACGTTCACTGCGTCGGCTGGGCCACGGGGGCCGGGGGCGGGCAGTGAGGGCAGGCGTGGGCGCGCCGTAGGGACGGGACGTGCAGCCAGCTGGCATGGCCTGCTCCTCCAAGCCACTCTGCCAGTGGAGAGGTGACAGAATGGCACTAATGTCTCTCTCCTCTCTAAAGCTGTGGCAAGGGTCTTGAGCAACGGTACAACAGGCCACTGTAAGGCCGTATAATGAGGGAACAACAGGCCACTGTAAGGCCGTATAAGGAGGGTACAACAGGCCACTGTAA